TGGGGATAGCATGTTATACAGAGAATGGTTCTGGGATGTAAAGAAAGAGAAAAAGTTTTGATGTCTTATAACGTAAGAAGAAAACAGATCCATAGTAAAGAAGAAACCCCCTATCCACTAGTATTGATAATAACTTCTCCTAAGGCAAAAAGAAAAAAATGGGATTGATGTTAAAGGGTAGACGTAGGGATCATTCGGGTTTAGATGATTAGGAGTAAGCACTTGGGAACCATTGGGTAGTCAAGGTTTTACTCCTGTATGCATTTATTGGTCCTTACCTTTAGCATTCTCCCTAAAGCTCAATCCATTCATTGAGAGATCCTTGTCCTGAAATTTATTAAACCCTCTTGATTCTCAAAAACTTTTTCTACCTAGCCAAGTGAGTTTCGGATTTGATGAGTTTGTCTAAAGTCTTTAAGTAAAGTTCTCTCAGCATGCATCACAGACTTAGCAACCTAGACATTGATTTTAACTGCTCTATCTTGCAAGTTACAGGTTCTGAGACCCCATTTTCAAACCTCTCTTCCACTTTGTTTCTTTTGCTTTGCTTGAGGGCAAGTAAAGACTAAGTTTGGGGGAGTTGATAAGTTTGTATTTCATCACTTTTTGAGCGTGTATTCATCATCCTTTCGGCATCATTCACTTGTTGATTCGCATTATATTGATCCCTTTCTGCATGTTTTACATACTTAGGTAGGTTTAACGCATATCATGCATGTCTTGCATACATTCTGCATATTTTGAGTGTTTCAGGTACTTATGAGACATGCAGAGCGAAGCAGAGTAACAAGCGTTACTCGGCATGCACAAGATCGAGGGGGCGATCGAGTGAGAAGCAAGGATGCATTGCGGGAACATACTTCACTCGATGGACGTGATCGAGTAGCGGATCGAGTAGGGTGATCGAGTAGCGGATCGAGCGGTTGATCGAGTAGGGAGATCGAGTGAGAAGACGGGATGCGAAACAACCGTCACTCGACGTGCTCACTCGAGTGACACGATCGAGCAAAGTAGAGAAGATGCTCACTCGACCAACTTATTCACAACAACTTTTAAACCGCTTCTACGTTGTTGTTTTATGTTTTAAGGTATTCCCAAACATTGTTATAAATAGGTCTCATTTGGATTGCCCAAGGGATTGAGTTTTTATTAGGTTTTTGTTGTTAGCCACCAAACAATCCAGAAAATTGTAATTGATATTTGTTTTGAGTTATTGAGATTTTGCAACTAGTTATTAAATCTTTGTTGTTACTCTTCCTATCATCCTTATTATTATGCATGTTTTGAACGATTCGTGTTTCATGATGTTTAACATGATTTCTGCGTCTGAGTAGTGTTAGGGTTCTTGAGGATGGGATTGATTAGGTGGAGGATGTTAGTTTGCTAGAGTGTTTATGTTAGATTCGTTTTGTTTCCCTTCTGGATTAGAGTTTTATTAGCTAGTTCTACTCTGATCAATTGGAACTAGGTCATAGACATTTCATACCCGAAAGGTATATGATGAAATGTCTGAACCAACTAGTGCCAGTGATTTACATGCTTAGCCCAAGAGATTGGTTGGTCTAAGATGTTTATTGACATTAATGAGCTGTTTCTTTATGCATGTTTACTACATGTTTCATCAATGAGAATTGAGATTAGGAAGTGTTGTAAACTTGATAGTTTCTGCCAAGAGATTGGATTGACTAGTGTTAGAAGTTCATTGTCTAGGGATTAGAATATTTGCAGTTTGATAAACACTCGAAGTAGATTAGCATACTCCACCTACATCAATAACCTCATCCTCGGGATCTTTCTATCCATTTGTGCTTTCTGTTTAATTCTCTTGTTATTTACTTGTTCTGCTTTGTTTTCTTGCCAGTATCAATAATCATTACGTTTTAGTTTATGCATGGTAGTTTATGTTTTACAGCCTTACATTTATCGCATGTTTAACATGTTCGCTTAGGATCACTGAAAACCAAAAATCATTTATACTTGCTTGACTTAATCATTTCTGATATATCTTGATTGCTAGCATCACACCTGATTGGATTGATATTTATTGTGCTGCAATGACATGATAGTACTCTAGGGTAATTGATAGCAAAATCCTAGTATCACCCACCTCTCTGAATGGGCCTCACGTCCACTCACTAGGCGAGCCCATGAGCCAGCCCATATCCGACAGCTGGGCTTAAATACTATGTCCAGGAGGCTTAAATACTTGTTTACCGAACCTAGACATCACCACATGCTATTTTCCTTTGTTTTGATCTCACTCACACAGTTCGGACAACCACTTCCGGGAAGGTCACCTATCCCTAGACTACTCAAGCATAAGCACACTTGACTATGAAGTTCTCTCAGGTCGTTTGACCAAAAATATAAGTGCACTTTAGTGCTAAATCAATTCATTTAAACCTCTCCGGAAACCATGGTCTCACAGATATGAATGGGCTCATGGGCTTAGTGAAAGGACATGAAGCCCATTAAGAGAGTTGGGCCCATAGGCTGAGAGTGAACATGGGGTCTATTGGGAGAGGTGATGATGGGGGGCGTTACAAATGGTACCAAAAGACAACACGATAATTGTCTTCTCAAGTACCTTAATACATTGATTTTGTGTTCTACTTATAGTTGATGTTGCTTCTTCTTGGACTCACAAACAATTTATCAATGGCAATACAAAGGAAAGAACAAGAGATTATTTGAACGCCATGTCATTAGTGAAGTCTACCAAGCATCAATTATGCAAGCTCAGCGATGATGGATGGGATTCTCATCACTATAAAGTTTCTTCTTTTTGTGAGAATTATGACATTGAGTTGGTCATTATAGATTAAGAATTTGTTGATCCAAGAAAGCGCAGAAAACAAAGCAACTTGACTGTGGATACCAGAATTAGCACTCTTGCCTAGTGGGCCAATTTCGCCCGAGCCGGTAATGAAAGGCCCATTCCGAATCCACATGGCCTTTCTTGTAGAAGCTAAAGGCGAGCTCTGGAAGTGAAGGCATGATCGTAACTGATGATCTCGTACTCAAACATCATTGTAATGGAGATCACGAGATCAGCGGGGCGATGATCGCGCTTAGATTACTGGGCTTGCACAACTTGTATAAATAGCATAGGAAACCAATTGTACGGGGGACGAATTTCTTCTTAAGCAATACAAAATTAGAATATTTCCTTTCGTTAGAGCAACAGTTTGTTCACGGTACGAGTTCGTTCCAGGAAATAGGATTCCACCCAATTCACTCCAGCTCCCCGTACGTGGATCTCAGCTCACACAATGACCAACCTTGCACCATTACTAAGTATAGTGTTTTTACAATGTATTGGATATCCAAATTCAAGGTTTAATGATCGTTTTGATAAAGTAAACACTAAATTACTTGGTTGTATTGCTTCTTTAAGCCCTAATGATTCATTTCATGAGTTTGATTATTAAAAGTTTTGAGATTATATGAGTTTAGTTTTGAAGATTATATTCATGGCGATTATATATCACTCGAGCATCAACTTGGCTTATACATCGACAATTACCGGAAAGGTGGAAGATTTTCTAATTTGAAAAGTTTAGGAGATCATGCACGGGTGATGATGGGACAAGGAAACATCTTTCACATCCTCAGGTTTATCGTCTTTTAAAGCTAGTTTGGACTTTACCTCTAGCCACACCTACCATTGAAAAATGTGAAGACTAGTTTACGTATTCGTATAGGTGATCAATTTAAGAACTGTTTTTCTAGTTTGTTTTATTGAAAAAGATTTACTTGATCAAGTGACAAATGTGATGAAAAACTTCAAAGTATGGAGGAATATAATACAATATATTTCTTAATCTTCCTCAATCCCTAACTACTTTTTACGTGTACTTTTTAACCAAAAAAAAATACTAAAACATCTAACATCAACATCAACATCAACAATCGATTTTTCATAATGTCATTTACATTAAAACCAAAAAAACCCGGCAATTTCTTCCGCACTGTAGCGCGGATCCGATCCACATAGGATTTTAAAGGACCAATAGTAATTAGACATCTAATTATGTAATATTTTTTTCATCTTACTAATTAACCTTTTTAAATTCTAATTTTTTAGATATAAAGATATTGATAAATGAGAAAAGAACAATATATACAGCATAGGAGAAATGTAAAAATGTTGAAAGCAATAAACAAGATATATAAAACTTATATTCATATTTTGTTAATCTTCTTATGTTCAAATATATATATTTGAAGCAAGGAACTAAAAAAAAAAACTATTAGCAAAGAACACTAAAACTATATTAATAATAATTTAATTAAAAATAACATACAAATATTATTATTTCCGAAAACGTAAAAAAACTATTTAGAAAATAAAATAGAAGAACAATCTCGCGCCGTAGCGCATGTACCAACCTAGTATATATAATGTTATATAGTATATATTAACCAATTTAGTATATATACAATTTTTTATATAGTATACATTAAACATTTTTTTCATAACTATTTTTTGGATTAATATATATTAAGAAAGAAAACTTTTTTCAATAAAACTATATTTAATGTTTTTTCCATTAAAACAATATTTTATTTTAGTTATGTTTAGATTTATTTTTTATATTAGGATTATAATTTTTTTTTTTTAAGGTTTAGTAAACTTTAATTGACATGTGTCATGGTAATATTAATGGGTAACTTTGAAAACCAGTCTTATATAATAAAATCATTACATATTATCTTTATTGATAATAGCATTTAAACCATTGGATTCTGGAGAACATATTCCAAAATTTAAACAAAATCAAGAGATAATAATTTAAATTGCAATTGTCTAAAACCATAAATATTATCTCACTAGTGTTGAATAATTAGGTAAGAATCACATATATTTTTCTTTTAAAATATAAATGTAGTGTAATAAATTAAAAGATTATGTTCTCTTTTTATCTTTGACTTTACCAAATACCTTTTAAGTATGTTATTATATATAATCATCCTAAGTGAAAGAAAAGAAAAATCATAAACATAGTTGAGAAAATTAACATAAGAATGGCTATAAGCAAAAAACATTTAATCGCATTTTTTCTCACTATCATCATGGTCATATCTTTGGTTCAATGCTCTGATAGCTTTCCTGGTATTTCTTATTATTTAACTCTCCAATTTTTATTATCAACGTATTTTCATCCTTTTTTAATTATAAAGTATATGTTGGTCTAAGTATAGGTTTCGGAATCAAGCAAGAGTGGAAAAAATGTTTTAGTCATGACCCTTGTAAAAAAGCAGGGACTCAAGGCTGTATGGAGTTTTGCAGAGATATAAGCTTTTTATTATATGGTGAATGTACTCCCACCCAATGTTGTTGTATCTCTAAGACAAAATAATCTATTACTAATAATTATTATTTCCAAAAGTTAATATCATTAGCTTCTCTTAAAGTTTGTGAGAAACAATATATTTCTTCTTTTTGTTCTTTATTTTGATTTATTGCAGTTTAATTTTAAAACGAATATCTTGACATTCTATTGATAAATTTCACAAATAGCAAAAATGTATAAACTTGTATAATATCAGTTGAGGAAAAATTATATCAATAGTTTACATTCATTATTCAATATCAGTTGATGAAAAATTATATCAATAGTTTACATTCATTATTCAATATCTTATACAAAAGATTGAGATCATAATATAGAAGTGTACCTTATCAAAATAATTATACAATATAATTTGTTTTTAAAATATAAATTATTATTAAAGTTAACGCAAGTCCAAACTTTTTCAAAACATATCTGCAGTTGTTGTCACCTCCAATAAGTAAAGAAAGATAAGACTAGAATCGTTGACTAAATCAGTACCTCAACTATAAGGGGGTTTATTTTAAGTAGGATTTAAAGTGATTTGAGTTTTTTTGAGTTTTTAATTGATGTTGATGATTTTTAAAAAATTCATTTTGGTAAAATCCATTCAAATCTCCACCTAAAACCAAGAGATTTAGATTTATGTATTTTCAACTAAGGAACTTTTCTCAAATCCTCTCAAATCCACAAATTATTTTCAGTAACAGTGGATTTTGAAATTATTAGTTAAATAAGCACTCGATTTCATGAGACTTATTAAAATTTATGTTTGAATAATATACGTTCTATAAATTCTACACAAATCTCTTACACCCCCTTAAAATATAAGAAATGAATCTAAAGATTATTTCTCTTTCATCTACAACCAAAAAGATTATTATTTTGTTTGTCCTCAATATTTTTTTTAGCTTAGGGTATTGGGATATCTTGATCTGTTTACATATATAATTGTGTTTCCTCAATAATTGTTTAGATAATGTTTACATAATTGTGTTTCTTTTGTTCTTTACATATTTTTCTGTAGTTTAAAATTATTGGGATTTGGGAGATATTATTGTATCCTTGATCTGTTTACATATTTGTTTGCATTATTTTGGTTGGAACAGGCATGTCAAGATTCCGAGTTGGCTATTTCTATGGACTATGTATATATATCAGCCATTGGCTATAACTTATAAACAAAAACAAAAAAAAAACTCTTACAAAGTTATCATGGCTCTCACCAAAAAGTTACTTGTCTTATTTCTTCTCACTATTCTTTTTGTCACACCTTATGTTCATTGCTCTGATACCACTCTTGGTATGAACTTATTTATATTTTCAAACTTTTTCCTTAGTTATGAAGATATTTTTATATCATTTTGTATGATTATAACGATTTGTTAAATTATTATATTAAATAGATATTGGAGTCAAGCAAAACTCGAAAAGTTGCTTCAGTTGAGCACCGTGTATCAAAGCAGGGACTCAAGGCTGCATGGCGTTATGTAGAAAAATGAGTTTGACATATTACGGTGAATGTACTCCGACCCATTGTTGTTGTCTCACTGAATAATAATCTCTAGAAAATAAAAGATTGTTTTTTCATAGAGAAAATATGATTAATTTTATTTTGAATGTACTTTTATATAATATGAATTGAATATCTATACAAATTTATAAGTTTTTCGTTATTTTTAGATTTCTCAGATTTTTAAACAAGTTTAGATACATACATACATTATATAATAGATACATACATACAAATATCTAAACAAATTGTATCATAAAACAGAACGGATCATATAGATTGCTTTTTTTGTTAAAGGGTTTTCTTATATAAACAGTAAAAGTATACAGAGAGGTAATATAGAACCATTACAACCAGAAAAGAGGATAGAACTAGTAACTAGTAGTACTAGGAGGACCAAGGATCCAAACAAAGGAAACTTGAAAATAGAAACGAATATAAAGTGCAGCTTTAGGGAATCCAGCATTGAAGAATAGAAGCCCCACGCTTTGAGCCTAGCGTCATCATTGAACTACACTTATTTTCCATAGTGGATAGAATGACCCGAGTAATTGTAGCTGGAGAAAGAGAGACACCGTCATGGAAACGTCGATTTCTCTCTCACCATAGTTCATAGATCGCACCCTGCCATCCTTGAAGGAGAGCTAATTCTTTTTGCTTTGATACTGAAGTTGATCGCAGCCATAGAAGTATTTGATCCCATAAAAACGGAGAAGCTGGGATCTGAAGTTTTTGAGTTATCAATTGCCATACCTCAGCAGAAAAAGAACAGTTAAAAAACAGATGATCTCGTGATTCTTGAGCTAAACCACAAAGGAGACAATCTACCTCAACATCATAACCCCATGAAGATAAACGATCAAGAGTAGGATTCCGATTGAGAATAAACAACCAAGCGGTTATAGCATGTCTTGGGATGGCTGCTTTGTGCCACACAAGAGGAGCCCAAAATTTTCCTGGTTTTGAAATCCTAACAGCATTCCACACATCTTTTGAAGAGAAAGACTTTTAAGGGATACCATCAATAGCCCAAACTGGAGTATCATTTGATAAGGACAAATTAATGGTAGTGATGAAAGGATGGAGAAGAACTTGTCTCTCTGTTCTGGCATTAAAGAGAGACCATCTATCCTCCATTCTCAATTCAGCCACAGTTGAAAATAGAGGGATCCCTAAGTGAGTAGGACATCTTAACCAAGAAAATGGTAAAGAGACCCAAAAGGAGTCCATGGATCCCACCAGAAAAAGGTTGAATCACCATTGCCGATCTTGATGCTGAAAAATTTAAGAGCTTCGGGACGGAGCCTAAGTAATTTTCTAAAACTCCAAGAGTAAGCAACATTTTTCCCATTAAGCGCCCACAAAGGAGATGTAGAAAGATACTTGTTTCTTATCCAAGCCACCCATAAAGAACCAGCTCTAAAAAACAATATCCAAAAAAGTTTCAAGGCACAAGTCACATTCCAACTACCAATGCTCCTTAATCCAAGTCCACCCTCCATTTTGGAGAAACATAAGTCATTCCATGACACTTTGGCCCCAGAGGGAGTATCAGTCTTTCCATGCCATAGAAAAGAGCTGCAAAGGCTATTGATCCTCCGAATAACCTGCTTAGGAAGGAAGAAAGCACTAGTCCAAAAACCTATTATGCCGGAGATAACAGTAGAGATAAGTGTTAACCTTCCCGCCAAACTTAGAAACTTGTGAGTCCAAGAGTTTAGTTTCTTTCTAATTTGAGACAGCAGGGGATCACAATCTCTAACCGAAAGCTTCTTGGAGCATAAAGGGAGTCCCAAGTATCTAACTGGAAGTGAGACAGGCTTCAGATTAAATAGGAATTGTATCCGGTCCAAGCTAGTCTCATTTAAACCAGAGCAAAACATGGAGGTCTTCTCAATATTCATACCCAACCCGGACATTTCCGCAAAATCTGAGAGGACTGACATAACTCCTCTTCACGATTGTTCAGACCCTTCCAAGAAGATTAATAAATCATCAGCAAAACAAAGATGTGTAAGCTTAAGATCCTCACAACCAGGATGGTACTTGAAAGATCCTTCAACTGCGGCTTTATTCAACATTAGAGATAACACATTCATTACCAGAACAAACAGAACTGGAGATAAAGGATCTCCTTGGCGCAAACCTGTCCTTCCTTTAAAATAACCTGAAGAAACCCCATTTATACTAACACTGAAAGACGGAGTGCAAACACAAGCTCTAACCCAATTAATAAAACCAAAGGGAACCTTATAAGCATGAAGAGAGCTAAGAAGAAAGTCCCATCTCACTGAATCAAAGGCTTTTGAAATGTCCACTTTCAGAGTAATTCCCTCTTTCCCTGAATTAAGATGATAGCCTTGCATAACTTCTGAGGCCAATAGCACATTCTCCAGCAACAATCTATCCTTAACAAAAGCGGTTTGATTAGGAAGTATAACCTTTAGCCTGCCTAATAAAAGCCGAGATATGATTTTGTAAACTGTACTAAGGCAGGAAATAGGTCGAAAGTCTATCACTTCAACAGCTCCAGGTCTTTTTGGAATAAGTACAAGAGATGTAGAGTTTAAGGCCGATGGTATAAAAGTATCCTGAAAGAATTGTTGCACTCCCGATGTTAACTCTTGCCCAATAATAGACCATGTCAACTTAAAAAACTGCAGAAAATCCATCTGGTAGGCATTCTGAAAAGGCAAGTCTTAATTGCTTCATTAGAGAAAGGAGCAAACAAAGAAGATTGTTGCGCAAATGAACAAGAAGCTTGCATTAGAGATTCAAGAAACTCAGGCAGTTGGGAACAAAATCGTCCTTTGATTGTGCACAAAATTCCAGCCAAGAGATCTATAACTAGCTCATGAACTTCCTGAAGGGAAGAAGTAGCAGAACCATCTGGTTTCAACAAGAACTTTATGGCATTCCCAGCATTTCTGGCCGTAAAGACCTTATGGAAGAAAGAAGTGTTATAATCACCCTCGCCCAACCACTTGAGACGAGACTTCTGCTTAAAAAAGCTTTCCTCCGCAATACTAAGATGCACCCATACTTCCTTTGCTAAAGTTTTATTCTGAAGATTGACGGGAGAAGGATCATTCAAAGCTAATAACTGAAGAGGATTAAGCTTAGCATGAGCCTCAACTACTCGCTTCTCTAATTCACTAAAATTATCCCTCATCAAAGATTTTACCGGGCCTTTCATCTGTTTTAGCTTGAAACAAAAGTCTTTAGGAGAAGAGACTGAAACTCCAACCTGAGCCCAAGCTATCCTCATTGAATCCAAAAACTGCGGATGTTTTGTTAAGAGGGAGAAAAACTTGAATGGCCTGGTACCATAAGAAGGAGGAGGAGTGTTGAGCTGAATATGACAAGGTGTATGATCTGAAAACTCCGGAGCCTCAAAGGTACAATGACTATTTGGGAAACTTGTTAGCCAACTTCCATTCACCAAGCATCGATCTAATTTCTTCCCAATAGGATCTACAGATCTTTTATTTGTCCAAGTGAATCTAGGTCCACTAAAGGGGAGATCAAAGAGGCCTAAATCTGCTAGGCAATCACCAAACATCCTCATTCCTCTTGTCGAGCAAACAATAATAGCATTGGAGGTTTCAGCTGGACAAAGGATCTTAAAATCTCCATTAACCATCCATGGCCTGTTTGATAAACCAAAATTTGCTTCAGTACTTCGAAGAGAAAACCAAAGCTTTTTTCCTTCTTCCTCTTCATTCGAAGCGTAAACCGCTGTATAAATGAGGTCCGTTCCATCCTCCAACAAAATTTCACAAGTAATTGACTGAAGATCCACATAAAGAACTCGTGCTCTAGTAGGTGCTTTGTAAATGATCCATATCCTTCCCAAGTCTGAGAACTGGTAATTAGATAAAAGGGTCCTTCCTGAACCAAAAGTAGAGAAAATATGGTTCTTATTTGCTTCTTTAACATGCAACTCCAAAAGGGCTCCAAAGGTAACTTTATGAACATGAAGCCAGTTGCTAAGAGGTCGATGCTTTGACGATTCGTTAAGACCTCGCACATTCCAAAAAAAGTTACTCGACATATAAACATATTATGGGGTGTGACGCTTCCCTCCTTGATCAGAGAGAACGCCACCTGGAGTAGGTGATGGAAGGTCAAATCTCTTTCTCTTCATCTTTTTCCCTTTGGAGGAAGATAACAAAGAAGAAGAAGAACCGTAGATAACCATAGAAGAAGACTCATCATCTAACATAATAGCATTGTCCTCTAAAGATAGCATATCAAAACGGTTTGAGGTAGTAGTAGACGGAGGAACAACCACAAGAGAAGCACAGGAGGTAATACCTTGAATAACTGCTTCAGAAGACTGATTAGAACTGGACTGAACTACATCTGAACCAACTGAATTGATGATGTGGTTAGGTACTGAATCTTGACCACTCTGTCCATTAAAAGGAGTATCTAACTCTGTTGGACTTTTAACCTCAACAGAAGGAGAGTGGATTTCTGTAGAGAAAGGAGATAAAACTTCTTTTACCTGAACCGTGGAGGCTTCTATATCAACTGAAACACCTTTATCCCCAGAAGCAGTACCACTAGGAACAGGTTTCCATATCTGCTTCTTCTCAACATAAGATGTGGAAATCTTCTCCTTAACTACCTTTGAAGAAGTCAACTCAGATTGAGGAGCTGTTGGACAAAAAGCAGCCTTATGCCCTATTTCGTTTCAGAGAGGACATAGAGGTGGAAGCCAAGGATAAGTGACTTTCAGAGTCAAGACTTGACCATCCTCACGCTCAAGCTCCAGCATAGGTGGAAGAGGCTGCGTAAGATCCACAATGACTTTTACCTCAGCTCAACTGATGCTACTGAAAGGCTTATGGTCTACCGCTCTTCCTAGTGGCCTACAAATGATACTTAAACCCTCCTGAGTTATTAGATCAAAAGGTATATCTTATATGCACTCCCAAACCGGAGCTTTTTCTAAAGAAGGTGGATTATAGCTGAATTCTGATTTCCATGCCGTGACAAAGAATGGGGAGTCACCTACATGCCATAATTCTTGTTGCAACACTCGTTTCCTTAGAGAAGGAGAGGGAATATAAAAGAGAAAAGCATTCTTGGTCAAATTATGGACCGTAACACGTTTATCTTTCCCCCATAGAAAGTTCAAAACACCCCATATCTTTCCATAAGATAGAGTCTTTCCATAGAAAATTCCTACAATGAAATCTTCATGAAGTTTAGCTCCTCTTTCAAACACATCATTTGAAACCTTAACACGAGGACGACCTTCAACTGAAATTGAAATAGGAGCCGACGAAACAGGGAATTTATCTACAGAGGTAAGATTTTTTGCCCAATTAAAACCTGAATCAGAGACTCGAGGTTTAGATATTGGTGAAGAAGAGGCGCCAGTAGAGACAGATTGGGGAACAGAGGAAATTTTCCTGACTAAAGAAGGAGGGGCCGCTCCGTGAATACCATTATCAGAGCGAGTAGTATGATTTTTTTGATTTGCCTGAGGTAGAGAGGAAGAAAGAGGGAGATCTGACATCACCACATCGAGAAGATGAGGAAACTGATCCGACGAGATAGAACCAGGGAGAAGAAGAGTCGGATCTGGTGGAACCGGTAGGGGAAGAGGAGGAGAAGCCTCAGTCATCGGAGAGATGAAGCTGAGCGGTGGCTAGAAGAACTGTAAACGAAAATCGCTTTTTTCACCAGCTTACGTCACGAAAACCACTTGCAGAGGAAACCTTCGAGGTTATCGTCCGATGGATCATATAGATTGCATTTATAATAACTTGATTATCAGATGTGAGTGAGGGAAGTCTTATAGACAAATATGGAACTTGAAAAGAGAGAAAGAAACCAATCTTATGACTCGTAACATTTCCATAATTTCTCCTCTATGCATAACAGAACATGCAATGCATATCATAACAAGATCCAAGTAAGAAACGAATTACGTTGGAGAAAAGATCAGACTGCAAGATGATAGGCTCGTAAAAGGTGTAAAATAATTTGATAGGTTAAGACCCATGTTAGTTACAAGCATTCGCTGATGGATAAAAAAGCTTTGAAACCTTGAACGTAAATCAAGATAAGACATATCAAGAGTTTGATAACCAGATTTTGTCACATTGGGAAGGTTCTGCCTGTAGAATACCTCACATAGGGCACTTAATTTATATATTCAGGTGATGAGAAAATGGAACAGAGCAATAACAACAACCTCAAATTAAGCTCCACTCCTGCTGTTGATAGTGGTATGATTAAATGCTTTTAATGCTCTCATTGTAACAATTAAAATGCCAACAATCATAAAAAAACAAAATGGTGATCAAAGTTATACTGACCATATATATATAGTGGCACTAAGAAAAGAAAATTCCAGACTGAGAACAAACAAGTAAAGAAACTGTATTTCTTATCCTTAAATCAAGATTACAATCAAGAACCTAAACTATCTTGGGACTTTGTGGTAGAGATCTCCTAACTCTCTTATCCTAACAAAACAACTAACAAGACTTCTCATTCTTATCCCACCCACTACTAAATATACCACTAATAGTTGTGCTTATCAAATACTCCTACGCTAAACTCAGCTTGACCTCAATGTAAACTCAGCTTCATCACAATGATTGTAAAGCCTTTCTTCATACTTGCTTGCCTAAACGTAGACCCTCCATTGAGCCAGAACTCTTATATCTTGTTTGTATAACTATCTAGTCACTTCTTATATCAAATTAGTCTTGTTCTTGTAATTGATTTCCACAGTTTCAGCGTGTTTCTTCTCCCCATTCCCTCCATAAGCTTCCCAGCCCGATGCCCTCGATACACTACTTCCTCCGTGGAGTTTCAGCTTTTCGTCAAGCTAAAATCGCAATAATTTGTGCAGCAGAACTACCCGATACGATTCCATCATTCTTTGTAGACAGCAAAACTCTGAAAATACCATGGTTTTTATATTCTTAAGGTTCATCTGTATACTCCAATTTGTTGCAGCAAATAACTATAGAAGATTAGTATAATGCTCCTTGTATTACCACCCTGCATGTAAATCAACACCAGTTCTGCCATTTCAGACCTATACTATCTAAATATGCAAGATTTCAAAGACTTTCTAAGAAACACGCTATTGAACACCAGATAGACATGGGATCGAAGCTTATTATCCATTGATGTCCTTACAAGAGTTGATAGCTTGAAAGATCGTCATCTTCTTCTTGTTTGTTTCTATCTTTTCGTTCTTCAGAGGCATTACATCGAACACTTGGCGTGCATTTTCATTCAACAGAGCAGCTAAGAGTAGTGGAAATTTTCTCAACCACTGATCAGCAAGAATCAACATAAATTGATGAGAGTAAATAACACAAAAGTATTTAAAAATAGAATTGTATTAGACTCTCATCCATTTAGTGTTACAACTTACCTTCTCTTATATAGAGATTAGGATAAACAAATGATAATGTTAATTTTTCTAAACGTAATGTTTATATTTATCACAAATTTTCTAGAATAATATTTTCTTAGTTCCATAATTTCGTTTTATCTTCTCAAGTTCTCAACCATCGATCATTGTCGATATCCGGTTCTCCATCTCCCAATATTTTCCATCAACATGTGTCGCCATCTTCCGGAAGAAGAGGTTTAACTGAAACAATTCTGTTTTCTGAGAGATTAATCTTTTGGAGTATGATATTCTTTACTTATTACATTTGTGATGTTCTCTTATCTATACTATTAAAGCTGAAGTACCCATAAAAAAAAAAAAGGAAAAAACCTAAAAATTCATCATCTATTATTTTTTGAACGTTTAATACATATATTTTTTTAATTGGTCTCTCTAGTTATTTCATTTCTGATGTTAATTATTTTTTTTTTAATTTTCAAAATAACATCATTCATTTTAAATTAATGTTTTCGGTAATCCTTATATACTACTTTGCTAAGAAAATACTTGGGGTATAGTATTCACATAAAAATATTGAGCTTTTATATACCTCATGTGGTTCTCTTATAGCATCGCAATGCTATACTAACCACACATATTTCTTCACTTTCTATTTTTAGAAACTCACACATATTTCTTCACTCATGACACAAACAAGTCAAATCCAAGAAATACTCATCTTACTAAAATCCAATGTCATAATCGTTACAACCAAAACGAAAATACAAAAGACTTACATCCAAAACCAAACTAAAAAAAAAACAAGACCAATAGTCTACTCTTCGACTTGCTTGTCGAACCACTTCTGCAACCTTGTCTTCATCATGGCCACTGGCTCCCAAGTCTCCTCCAAGACTCCATCACAGTCCCATTGGACTCTCATCAAAAGAATCTTCGAATCCCGGTCTGGCACAATACTTGGCTCGTACTCCATGAAGTCTCACAATCTACTGCACATACTTCTTGGCAAACACTGCCGCTCCATCAGTCTTCTTGATAGCCAAGAATTGTGCAGACTTGGTCAAACGATCCACAATAACCCATATGGCATCCTTGAACCGAGACACTCGCAAACCTACCACGAAATCCATCGTGATCATGTCCCACTTCCACTCTGGAATAGGAAGACTCTACAGTAGCCCGCTTGGCACCTGATGCCAGCCTTCACTAGCTGACACACATCACACTCAGACAACCACTTAGCAACGTCC